CTACTGACTTGGCTCTTTATTTCTCTTCCTTACACCAAAGAGGAGGCAGGGGGAAGAAGTATAGGTTTAGGGTTCCAGGATTGGTTATAGATCTTTCTCCTTTCTTTTCCTTGCTAACCTCTAAAGTACGTTTGTTTCCTCTCTATTTGATCTATCAACTGGATGGCAACAAAGACTCCTGATTTCAAGAACAAAGAAAGGGGGTTGGGTGAAGACTTATTGGATGTTGCATTTTCCAAGAGAAAGTGTTGTTTCTGTGTACCCTATTTAGGTTCAAACCAATCAAAGACCGCCAAATCGGTGTGGTGGAAGAGAATTCGGTCAGTGGAGAGCGAAGATGCATGGATGGTGGATGAAAGAATGGAAGAAGGTAAGGCAATGGTTGGAGATCATATGGTGGGGCCTTGATGGAAGACATTCATTCAGCAATTCAACAAGAACAATAGAGGTGAAAGAGGTGGTAGGCTTGGGAGAACGAAGAGGGAAAGGAGGGTGGAGGAAGATTGTTGCTCCTGTTGGAAGTTGTAGCAATGGCAGGGATTTTGATTGATGAATAGGGGAAGGAGGGTGGAGGAAGATCATCGTTCCTACTGGAAGTTGCAACAATGGCGGTGATTTTAATCGATGAAGACCAGATTGGACCTGGGTGGCAAAGACCAGATTGAGGAAGATAAGAAGAACCAGGGGAGCTTCCAATTTGACATAAGGGCAAAATGGACATTTCAACACTTCTGTCAATAGTTTAACGACAAAGGTAATTTTTCGAAACAGTAGGGGTAGAATTAGATAATAGTTAAACAATAGGGATATACTTAGTCAACTAGCTAAACCATAAGGGTAGTTTATGAAAATTGTCAATAAAATTGTATGATATTTATAATAGGAGCATATGTTTTGCATTTTGGACTCTTGAATGATACATTATCAATAAAATTGTATGATATTTATGCATCCTATTATATTAATCATGGTTTTTAAAAAATGAACCGATCAGGGGTCCGGTTACCGGTTCGAACAGTCCGATCGTTCAACCTGAACGGCCGGACGTTCTGACAAAAAAAATAAAAAATTTAAAAAAAATTAAAAAATTGGAAAACGGTCAAAACTGTTCGAACGGTTTGAACGGTTAACCAACCGGTTCAGGGGTTTGCTAACCAAAATCAACAGTTTTGGAGGAAAAAGCGGTTTTGGAGGAAAACGGAACCGGTCAGTGACCGGTTCCCAGTTTTTCCACTCCGACCATCCGGTTCAGTACGGTTTTGAAAATAGTGATATTAATTGTAATATATTTTTTTATATAAAAATATACATTTTCTATGTATTTACATATTATCTATGGTTATTTGACCTTAAAATTAATACTATTAATGTATTCATTGAATTTTTATTTGTTTCCCTAACGTATCCAAGTGTTTCCATATTTTTTATTTCATATTCATGCGTTTCCAAAGTGTATTTCTATCCAAATTGTTTAATGGGGTCAGTGACAAAGACCTAAACTTTTATGTTGTGACAAATACCCCCTTAACCATTAAGTTAGATGATGGGAGGCATTAAATTACTAAAATACCCCACTAAACTTTCTCTATTTATTTTTCTTGTTCTTTTTCTCTTAAAACCTAACTGTCCCAAAAATACCTCCATTTCTTCTCGGCGGGAAATACTTTTGTCATCTCACCGGTTATCATCACTAGAAAAAGAAGAAATATCCGGTAACTTAATTAAAAAATCTTCAGTAAGTTAAAAAAGGACTCACAGTTGGAAAAGGAAAAAAACATTCTAGTGAGTTAATAATTAAAAAGGGTCATTCAGCTGCTTCTGGGCATAGATTTTAAAAACTCTAGATAGACTTGAAAACTCTAGACATTCACTGTTGTGTTTATTATAGTCATTTCAGTTAAGCTCAATGGAAAAGACAATGAATATAATACCAAGTGTAGGAAAAAAAAGTAAGACAGTTTCATATATAAATTGAAGAAAAGAGAAATAAAATAAAAAATGGTGGTTGGGTTAGATACATGAATCCTCCAACTAACTATATGATAGTTGGGTTAGATACATGAATCATGTTTTGCCATATTTAATGTCATATCTATCCATTAAATTAAATGAGTGCTGAAATCATTTCTAATTTCTTCCACCCAAGTTGTTTTCCGTCCTCTTCTATTATTTAACACGTAATCCAAAAAGAAAACAGGGGAAGTGTGATATTGATCTTAATTCTCAATGACTTACTCTGATCTTACAGCTTCTGTGCCCGGCTTTTACGCAGTGGCTTTGGTGTTGAAAGGTAGGCCCTGCAGAAAGCTGTGAAAAGAACAGTAATGGAAAATCTGAATCTGAAAAGCCAAAAATAGGCTTACATAAGCTGAGAATTTGACTTCCTACTACAGCTATTTTCGGGAGCTTCTTAGAAGCAACTCGTACAATACTGCTCAATAAACGCTGAAGCCCTCCCAAACGGGCCCTTATACACTTCCATAGAGGCCGGAGCAAAGTCGTTTTGTTTAAGCTTTGATGTGTATATGGTTGGTGTATGGAGACATATCACATACCTAATCTCTGATTTATAGCACTAAGACAAAGTGATAATGGACCAGTTATTACTTATTACACTGAAACCACCTGACATGATCATCTATTGCCATTTTGATGAAGAAGAAGTTATATATGTTAATAGATAGATTTACTGTTATGCCTTTAGCATGTGTTTTTACTCCTAGGGATGCAAGTGGGTCGGGTTAAGTGGTAAACCCGCATTGACCGGACAGACCTTAATTGGGTTTCAACCTGGCTGTGGATTGAAGTGAACCCGCGCCAAGCCTGACCCAATGGTATTTTAGCATTGAAACAGTTGTGGAGATGGCCTTGGTTGAGTATAGGTCTACCGTATTGGTCAGGTTTGGTATTCCAAATTTCCATTTTTACTTATTTGGGTTGGGTTGGTTCAGTGTTGGATTTATTTTATTGAAGCAAACTCATTCCAAACTTGGCCCTTGACACCTATATTTTCTCTTTTTCAACTTTTCAACTTATGTATTTATTTATTAAGGCCATGTTTGAGAGTGCTTATGTTAAAAATAAGTGCTTCTTGAATAAGTTCTGAAAAATAAGTACTTATTCGAATTAGCACTTATTTGCATTTGACACCCAACTTTTTCAAGTGCTTGTTTTAAAAAATAGGGTTTATAGTCGATAAGGGCAACTTTTGGGCCCTAATATCAATAAGAATAATCTTTTTAATATAATTATTAAAATAGGTTAAATTTAAAAAAAAAATATCAAATAAGGGCAGAAACACTATTTATTCATTCCTCCTTCAAACCACCAAACAAATCTCCCCCAATCCTGATTTTTAGGCTTTGATGGTGTTCAAAACTGCTTCAACCTCTAACAGGCTTCTGAGAGACCAGAATATTTACATCCTCAACTACACCGCTCATGTCATCAGTTCCTACACTATGAACAAGGTCGAGTTCGCAGAGGAAGCTTTGAAATTTGACATAATTTCACCACTGATGGAGCTTCTTCGAGGGAAGATCAGTTGGGTCGAGCAAAGAGTCGCCGTTCGAGTGCTGGCTCACCTGGCCAATTACGAAAGAACATTCGAGGCTGTTGCACAACACGAAGAAGAGATAGTCCAGCTAGCCATGCAGTTGGCTTCCGCCTGCCTTGATGTGGTGTATGTTAAGTTCACCTGTAGGGCCGATTTAGTTGAACTGCGAAGTTTCACGGGAAGATCAAGAGTAGGAGACCCAATCGCAGAAGTGCTCTTAATGGATTACAAAGAAAACAAGAAGAAGAAGGGAGAGAGAGAGAGATAGAGGTGGAAAGATTTGTTCGGCGGTTTGGAGGAAGAAGAAGATGAACAGTGTTTTTCCCCTACTTGATATTTAAAAAAAAGTTAACCTATTCTAGAAATTATATTAAAAAATATATTTTTATTGATATTAGGGTCCAAAAGTTGCCCTTATCAACTAGAATCCCTAAAATATAAGCACTTATTTTATATTGGGTGATTGATACTCTTTTTCTCCAAAAACCACTTAAATAAGCATTTGTAACTATTTTGTCCTTTTTTTTCAAATTTTACAAAAAACACTTTTGTAAAAGTACTTATATGAAAGCACTTTTACAAAAATACCTTTATGAAAGCACTTTGATAAATGCACTTTTACGAAAGTACTATAAAAGTATTTTATGGAAGTACTTTTATGAAAGCACTTTAATAAAAATATTTTTGCAAAATTCTATAAATTTACGAAAACACTTTAATAAAATTCAACTAGGGATAATTTTAGAAGTAAAAATTGAATAAGTGCTTATTGTATAAGCTCTTGAAAAAGCCAGAAATTTGGGCTTAAAAAATAAGCCCTTATTTTTTAAATAAGCACTTATTTCAGGCTTTTTTTCCAAACACCAATAAGTGCTTAATGGTGTGGTCTCATCCCAAATAAGCACTTATTTTTAAGCACTCTCAAACATGGCCTAAATCTATTACTATAAATCTAGTTGATATAGCTGGAAAAAGTCCCCCTTTGCATGTATTTCTTTGACTTTCTTCCCTGTGAAAATTGGTGCCTTAGGGATGAATCTTACTGTTTTCAAAGGGATCCCTTGGTGTGAATTTACCTCTTAGAATTGGAGTTACATCGATTAGCTTGCTAATAAGGACAGAAATCCATTTCCTATGGAACTGATGCTTTTCATATTTATACTGAGAACAATACATTAATGAATGACATATCAGATGGGTTGATAGGTTTTGCTAACCATGTTGGTATCTGAGTGCCTTTGCTTTGATAACTTTCAATCCAGTTCTCTAGCACTTGAAATCTCACTCTATAGGTTCAATCTGTTATAACCTAGTAACTGAGGTACTGACAGGAATAATCAATTACTGGCTTATTCCTTTTCATATCTTAAACAGGAGCTATGGGTTAAGAGCACAATCAATTTTCTTCTAATGGGTACATACAGATAACTACAAACCAATCAAATAAATATTAAATAGCACACTTAATTATCACAGGATAGAGTACATTTAATAAGTTTCCTCATTCATTCTACTGTCAAATACCATAACTTGGCACATAATCTTAGAAGCTTAAGAAAAATTACAGTGTTTCATATGCACAATTCAAACACCATCCAGCCATGAATGCAAAGTCTAGCACTTCAGAGTAACAATGATGCTATTTCTTCAATTAAGACTATAGAATGCTCGTGCTGAAATATACTTAGCCAATCTGCTTTATTAATTTATAGTAGATATACTAGAGCTGCTTTCTGATCATCACCTGCATATCAGAAATTGGGAAAAGAAGAGTGAGAATCTCTCTCTCTGCTTCATTAGCTCAGATATTCTCTAAGTAACTTCACTAAGATTTAAAGTTACTAATGGAAAGTATCAGTTCTTACTTCTATGTCCACAAATTAACTACAAGCTTGAATTACTCTTGAAGGAGAAAAGGATGCTGTTTCAAATTTGGGTTCTGGACTAACTGCTTCAAAAGCTTGAACAAGCACAGATACTCTCCTCTTGCTACGAGTTGGAGCAAGTTTCTTAACAACCTGTTGCAGTGCATAGTCAAGCATCCATTCCTCCGCATTTTTCCTTTCATCCATCATTTGATGCCTGAGATCAACCTTCTCTGCATCAGGTTCAGGCTCCAAGGGCAGGAATCGTGGATCCCTTGGGTTGAATTTCCTAAGTTCTTCCTCATCCTCAGTGGGCTTCTTGCTTCTGACTTTCCCTCTCAGATTTCTGTCGTCCTTGAGCAGTTGTTGGTCGTCCTTTTCTGGGAACTTTGGTACCTCAACTGTGTTACTCATATCTGATTGATTGTCAGATGAATGATCTTGAATCTCTAGATGAACGCCTTTGTCATCTTCAGTGGTTACATCAAGCTGGCAAGCTTCAATCTCTGTTTGAGCTTGGTGGTTTGCATCGCAATCTTCTTGCACTTTGTCTTCTGTTCTACTTCCCACATGAGCACCCAAGACTGCCTCGCTTAGACTAAGATTGCTTTTAGCTGCTTCATCAGAATCGAAAGACTTCGAAATCTGTGTTTTAATAGAACTATCTGCGTCTTCCAGTTCATGTAGTTGGGGTTTGGATTCTTCTTCAATAACCAGATCCTCAGTTACCACATCCTTGACAGGTTCCCCTGCTACATTGCTGATGTTGTCATCTAGTTGAGAATCCCCATTCTTCTCTTCAGTGGATGTTGTTGATTCCTCCAATTCTGCAGATATCATGCTGCTGATGAACTTATTTGTAACTGGAACTTCATTGTTTTCTCCATTAATTACTGTAGGTTCCTCAATTTCATCCTCAGTGGAAGAAAATATGTCCCGAATTAGAGCTTGAGAAGCATCAGACCCTTCCACACTTATTTCACTTGATATGTCACCCTCCAAATAGTCATCTCCAAAATTCGATTCAGAGCCACTGTCTCCAAGTTCTTCACTAAAATGTTCATTTTCCTCATAAATTTTTCGCAGTTCACCATCTTCTGGAACTTCCTGACGGTAATCACTAAAAATGCCATTTGGCTTGAAGGTGGTCTCACTGTGCAGTCCAGGATCCTTTGACTCTGTCAAAAACAGAGTTACAGGATTTGGCTCCTTACCAGGAGGGTTGGAATCATCAGACCCATTATCAAGATTTGGTACTACGACTTGTTCTTCCTCCAAATCCATATCACTAGTTTCAGAAACAGTCTCGGCAGGGCTAACTTCTTTTATCAGGCAAGGCCGGTAATCCTCATTCTCAACTTCTATCAACTGCTCTTGTTCAGGAAATGTCATTTGATTATCCATTTCTGCCTGGAGAAATTCACTGTAATAGTCGAGACCATCTTCAAAGCTTATTTCCGAGTATGGAGATTCATCTAATAGGCTCTTATCATCATTTTCTACATCCATTTCAGAACCACCTCTATCTGACAACATGATTTCAACAGTCTCCTCTCTGGGTTTTGCATAGATTTCTACAAAATAATCTGTGTCCACTTCCTCCATCATAGGAGATGCTGCCAAACCTGCTAAATCTGCTTCTTGAATTGCAGGATCCCGGACTCTGGCCCCAGAAGTTTTAGAGAGACCTCTCAATCTCAAACTCTTCTGAGTCTTCAACAGACGCCTCCTCATGGACAGGAAACGCTTAAGGGGAGGCACTGGGGCATGGTAATGGCCATTAAGAGAGCAGTAAGTGTAAGGACAGACCTTGAAAACTGAAGTCCCTTCTGCCTCTGTTCCGCCGGGACTAAGCGTCAGACAGGCAGGGAACTTCGAGTCCTTCAGAGTGGATGAACAGGTCGCCCGGTCAACATCAACACTGGGACACAAAGAAACCCGGGAGCTCTTCTTCATGGAAGGCCTCGACGTTTTCAAACTAGATGTTTTTGCCAAAGTTCTCACTGGTTTCAGACTAGATTGTTTTGCTAGAGTCCTTGCAGTTGCAGGTTTGTGACCAGAACCAGAATGTTTTGAATAATTCGAATTCCTCCTACTAGAACTCCTACCATGAAGATTGCTAGTTTGAGATGTACTGGGACTCACCTGTAAACGCTGTTCCTTCTTGGCATCAGAACTGCTCGTGGGCTTCATATAATTCGGAGAAGCACCAGACATCTTGATCACAGAAGGACTAGATTCCTCCATAGCTGGTTTCTGATGTCGCAACTTCGCCGGTGTGACAGGAGACGATCCTAAGCTCTCCAAATCAGAACGCTTCAACGATCTTGACTTCTTTATTTTCTTCTTCAACTCAGCTCCTCTGCTTCTCATGTCATGATTTTGCGTAGGGGATGGTTTAAGGGTCGTTGACCGCTTCTCGGCCTTATCATGTCTCTGGGAAGCTGCTTGGATTCCAAGCTTGTTAGGAGACTTTCTTTGAACCATCTTCAAAGAGAAATCATAACAAGACTTGGCCCAAAGTAGTAAAACAGATCAAAATTACATGAAAGCAATGATGAAGGTGGGGATGTCTTCTCTATCTTCCTCTGAGATGAAGCCTGCAGACTCTGAAGAAAAGAAACCACTCTTCTTGTTTCTGTGGATTCCTGGATTCTGAGACGAGAGTTTTTGTTTTAACAGAGAAAGAAAAGAAAACTAATGAAAACTTAACAGAGAGGATTCCAAGCTTGGTTTCATTGCCTCTCTTGGGTGGTTTTACCTTCTTTTTAATCCCAACCGTGATTGGCTCAAGTTTTTGAATATGGCTGAGATAGGAACATGATGCTGATTGCTGACCCACACGGCTCTACACCCTGAGCATTGGGTCCTGTTTGGCCAGTTCTTTAAGAAATTCAATTATGGTGACTGGAGAGAAGAAATCCGCCACAAACCAATGGCTAGAATATTCTCTGCCCAAGGAATTTACTAAAATCACAAAACTTTCCTTTCAAACTTCAAATTACAGATATACCCTCAAGTTTTGGATAATTAATCTTCTATTGGGCTTGACATAACATGGGTGTTATGGTAACATCGACCGGTATAAGTGGGAATAACGAAGAATAAGGCACGCCTGAGTGAAGACAAGGCCCATGGGCCATGGTCGGCAGAAAGGTGCCGGCCAGGGGCCCGCCTGAGCAAGGCCGGCACACAAACGCTCCACTAGTCAGTTCTTTTACCTTTTTTTTAGTCTTTGCTTTTCCTCGAAAAAAAGTACTTTTTTCAAAATTTCTGCTTTCGGCATAACCGCCCCTGAGGCCTGAACCATTCTAGAGCTTAGACTTCCACCGACGTTGGGTTGTTCAGCTTGTTGCTTGGGGGATTACATGGTTGCCAACCAGGAGATCAACTGGGTGGGTCATGATCAATCCAGTCTGTACGGTTGTTGATTGTCTAGCTGCCGTGTTTACTGAGAAGTAAGAAGTCAGAAATTAGGAGATTGTTTGGTTTTGGTGGTCTATACAGGTTTTTTTTTCTTTTTTCTTTTTAATTTGATTTGTTTATAAATATAAAGAAAAATGTGCTAAACATCAACTTCAAATAATCATTACAACCCTGGTTGGATAAGAAATATGGATAGGATTTATGTCACTCTAATGGTTATAACTAAGGCTGAATTGAGTTGAGTTAAAGTGAATTAATTGGATGAAAGAATTTCTTATCAATTATTGGAGGAGAATGTGCACATGAACCCATGTGAGCTGGTCTACAATCAAATATCTTCCTTGCCAACTACTGATAAGGAGAGACAAGTTTATTTTTGTTTTCCTTTACCTTGCTGGGTCAGATTGGTTATTGTTCCATTTTCTCCCAGGCTGTGTTTGGAAACGATGCAAATAAGTGGAATATAAATATGTAGAGTATAAAGGGCTCATATAAAGTGTAAAGTTGGGTTAGTTTTGCACTGATAAATTTACAGATTTTTAGCTGTAATGGATGCAAGTATATGCATTTTTTTTTATTAAAAACCCATTTGAATGTAAATTTACTTTTTTTTTTATTGATGCATTTTTACATCTTATCATCAATGTAAATATGCATTGATCTGTCATTTGTCAATACAAAAATGTAATGTTACCAAGCACAGGCAAAAGTGAACCAGAGTGTAAATTTACCCTGAACCGGGATTTATACTCTATTTGCATCGTTTCCAAACACAGTCTAAGTATTTGCAGTATTATTGTTTTATTTTATTGATACCATTCTATTTGTACTTTCGAGTCATGTGAAGAAAAATTGAAATAGCGAAGAAAAATGATAACATGAAAAATATACAAGATTTATGTGGTTTGGGTGTATTGATCCTATGTTTAATGAGGATTCTAATGAAATTTTCAATTCCATTGTTGTGAATTTATTTTATACAATCAGTTTCAAAGGCGGGTTGGGTCAGATTGGTTGCTGGTACTAAAAGTTTTTCTAAATTCTCAGCCAACCCCATATTTTTGATAAGGCTGTGATGATGATGATGATGATTTCAGTGAATTTCGCTATTTTTCAATCGACTTCTCTTGCTCTTTAATTTCCCTACCCTGTGACAAAACCCTCACTGGTACCAAACATTTTCCGCTACCAAGTCTGTATTAATTGATTTGGAAAAAAAAGCATATGACCATGTTGGATGATAAGCCTTTATAGCATCATTCAATCTCAAACTAGGATTTAATGAAGGCTGGTTTATTGATGCTATATTTACTGAGGATTCCAATGAAATTTTCAACTCCACTAATGTGAGCTTATCTTATATCAGTCCCAAACCTGGATAAAGGAGGAGGGTTGGGTTAGGTTGTGAGTGATTACTAAAACTTTTGCTAAACTCTCATAATCATTAGCCAACCCCATATAGTTGCGATAAGGATGACATGATGATGATGATCCCAGTGCAATTTTCACTGCTTCTCAATCAATTGCTCTTGTTCATTTCCCTACGTTCTGACAAAACCCTCATTTTACTGGTATTATTTCCTTGCCCTTCCTAACACTAGACATTGTTCATCACCAAGTCTGCATTAATTGGTTTGAAGAAAAAAGCATATAACCATGTTGAGCAATAAACCTTTATACTATCGTTAATATCAAATTAGGATAGGCAAGATAAAGGTCCTGCCAAACTAGACAAGGTGAATTGGATGAGCTACGCTGGACAAGCTAGGCTGGATGAGGTGTTCTAGACGAGGTGATTTCTCATGGAGCACTTTGACGCTTAAGTCAATAAGCAAGAGAGAAGAGGTCAGCTAGGTCAAATTGCTAAAGACGAGCTAGTTGTAGAAAAGCAAGCTGAAGAGCAAGTGAGCAAGAGACCAAAAAGGTTGAGAGTGGAAGAAGAAAAGAAGAATACCTCAAGTATCATGCCTTTAAATACCTTAGAGGAATTCCATTGTGCTCTTCACTTTTTGGGACATGAGGAATTCACTAGGGTGGCCTTCATTTGGAGTCATAGGGTAATTTTGTGCTCCTTGTCATGGGAGGCCATGGAAGGTCCATCGTTCACTACATGCCCCTCTTCGTTCAAGGTTTTCGATTTGTGTCATAGTTGTTGCATGTTATACAATGGTGGTTCACATTGCCAACGTGCCTGAGCATGTGGCCAGGCCCTTGGCCATGTTGACTTCCACGTGGTGTTTCAGCCCGGCCAAGGTACAACCTCATCACTAATCCCCTAGTTCTGAAATTGAGAACGGAGGTGCTCAATAGATGCTTGGAGGATGGGCTCCAGACATACTCAACTACAGAGCTCGGTTGTGATTTTGGGCCTTGGTTGAATTGCCTAGCTCATGGTTGGGTTTAGTATGAAGTAATGATGACAAACCATATGTGGGAAAGTTCAAATTTTAAAATTTGAACGGACGGTTTATGAGTAGTGATGTTGTGTCTTCTTGAGCTTACATATATGCACAGAGTGCGAGGCTTGATCTGGACCACTGGTTAATCTTAGCCTAGTCGTTGACTACCTCTATAACCTCTAGATAAGGCAAGGGGTGAGTCATATTCCTTTATCATGTGAGTGAGAGTGCCTTCTAGAGTTTGGTTGGTCTTCGTCCTTGTTTGGTGCTTCCGTGGTTAGAGTTAGTCATTGGTAACATTTCCTCATCCTCATCATTTTTGTCCATAGAGTCTAGTTGCTCTAGCTTGAATAGCGAGTAGAGTCAAGAATCATCTCATTAAGAGGTGACTAAAGTATTGGTCCCTGAAATTGACACCAATGATGCCAAGGTCGAGGTGGTGGTCCTTGAGGCCAATGCCAACCAGGCTAAGGTCGAGGAGATGGTCCTTGAGGCCAACGCCAATCAAGCCAAGGTTGAGATGGAAGAAGTTGAGGTATAGTTCGAGGTCCAAGGAGGAATCAAATGAAACTTCATTCGAGTTGAGGTTGATTAACAAATTGAAGAGGTTGAAGTAGAGTCTTGGATTTCTTCAGCTTTGTTCCTTGTGCACTTTGGGAGGTAGAAGAGGATTATGGAGTTGTATTGTATTCCGTTGAAATACAAGCTTAAATGCCCAAAGTTGGGAGAAATGACACACTCCCTTCGGTTGGCTGAGCTCTATGTGTATGAGGAAGGCTTTGTAGCTAGCTTGATGTTCCCCTTAGATTCAACATTGGTATCCATGTTGAAGAGGCACAAGGTTATGCCCGTCCATTTGCTACCAAACTCTCTAAGATACTTGGCCAAGTTTCTCTGCTTCTATACTATCCATGGTATTCCGACAACCTTTCTCATTTTTCTACGGTCTTCTCCACTTGAAGAAGCACTAGTAGGGTTATTACTACTTTTCGGCTCGGCCAAACATGAAGGTGCTCTTCAGGTCTCCTTCTTCGGCTCATCATTAGAATGAGCGTTTCTTTTTTTGTGAAGTGCAATGATGGATGGCCTCTAGGGCCTAAGCTGACCACCTCAAAGACTAAAATAAAGGTTTTGAAAAGCAATGGAGCTGTCTAAGGCGGATAGTGTGACATTGGCATGGATAGTTGAGCTTGAGGTGGATATCAAGTTGTACACCTTGGCCATGTTGATCCGTACTGGGATGATGTTCCATCTGGTTTGTCAATTATTGAATTATTAAGGTTTGCTTCCTTGAGATATATTGCTTCTTTTTTCCTAAGTACTAACTCCCTATCTCTCCATGTAGAAATTTCCATGGACCCCAATGAGGAACAATAGATAATTTACTTACAATAAGCAATGATGAAGAAAAGATTAGTGGGAATGGGAGTAGAGTTGCCCCCAACTCAATAGTAAGCCAAGGACTCTATATTTAGCCCTTCCAAAATGTTGAGGGTGATTGCAGACGGGGTCATGGTGGTGGATGTTGAGTAAGAGGTCAGTGAACCAAAACTACTAATAGACAACTCCGAAGAGGAGTTCAGAGGGCCAAACCTTAGGACAGCCCAAAGAATAGGTGTATCATCTCCTAAGAAACATCCATTGCGATGACACCATGGAAAAAGAGGTTATGGTAGAGCAACTTGCCTAAGCAACCTTACTTTCACAAATAAGTTTTGAAACCATAATCCACACAAGTGAGTCATTGGAGAGCTCAACCATCCACATATCCATAGCGGTAAGTTTCTATCTTGAAATTTATCAACTTATAGAGCTTGGATCCATACTTTGTATCTTGTAAAATGTCTGCACAATGACGTAGGTTGTGACACTTGTGTAGATATATAGAAAAAATGGAGGGTGTTAAGATGGCAATGAAGGATGAGTTGGAGGAGGTCAAGGTTGCACT